ACTTGATACGCACACGGTATCTCGAAAACAACCGGAATTTCGTAATATATGTCGCGCCATGACTGCGTTCAGCAGAAAAAGCAGCTTTGCAGCAGTGAATTTCGGAATGGTTTAACGCCAATGTGATATAGATTTAAAACTTGTTTATATTATACAACACATTATAGAAATAGGAATTAAAATCTATTGATCCCAACATAATAAAAATTAGAAAACTATATAGTTTCGGGTTCTACTAAGAGATCTGGGTTCGACTTCCGGCCGCGGTAATATTTTATGCAATAAGAATTAATTATTTATAGACTTCAATATGTCACTCAGCACTTATTAAGATTGTTCAAAGATGCGAAAAAGCATCGAATTATTAAATTGCTAGTCAATTTAACTCGTGATATTACTGCGATAGTTTAGTAAAGTTAGCGTTTCAAGAGAACTGCACAATCATTTCGACGCGTTTCAAAAGGCTACATACATAGTATATAAATTCACATAGATCATACAAGCATTTAAGATCTTAGAACTAAAAGCATTCAGCATTGATTTCTATAGTTTATGTTATCATATATACATATAATAGTCCTATAATGTATTATATTGAAAATTATATGATGTTTTTTTAATCCTGCAAAAAATAATATATAAAATAAATACAAAATAATATTGTAAAATATATATATAAAAAATAAATATTATAAATATCTATAAAATAATATTGTAAAATTCTTTAATATTGACCTTAATTGCTTGATTTAAATGTATCTATAAGTCCTAAAATACAATAGGTATAGCAAGCCTTAAGAAAAAAATCTACGGAAAAAAATCTCTTTCAACTAATCATAGTCAATTATTCTCCTTACTCGACTCCTTACTTCAACTGTGATTGTCAAAACCTTATAGCTTAAAGCTACATTTATTGTTTCGGAACTAAACCGGGGCTTATAATGCTTATATTAAAGAATACATATTACAACAGTTGTAAAATTGCTTTTCCTGCTGAACACATTGCTTTCAGATCCGTTCGTCGGCACGCAAACTTTGTTTAACGCTAGTCCCGCTGTCTTGTCATTGAAATTGTCACAACTTCGTAACAGAATCTGACCTATGTTCGCGTGACTTCTACTTCAAGCAACATTTCCAGAGTCTAATAGGTTCCTACCACTAGACACGTCGTTCTGTAGACTTCACCGTTGCTCGGAAATAATGTCGGGAATATCGCCAGTTGTCGACGGGACCTTGAAGAAATTCGCGAGCAAACTATGCCTCGTTTCGAAACAACGGTAACTTCTTGCTCACGACTATTTCGACGTTTGCTTGCGTGCGGGACGCAAGGATTTCGGGGGAGAGGAAACGAGTAGATAACTATCAGTGTTATTGGAACTACAATGCAAAAATTGGACTTTTTCTTACAGTCCCGTTTTCCCGTAATTCGCTCGACCGAAATCTACCGACGCGCGATACTCCTCTCTCGTGTACTCGCTGCCGTTGGCGAATGCAAATGTTTTCCCGACCGCTTATTAAGGACGATCGTTCGTATCGGTCTAGGTAGCAATAGCGGAGTTACATCAGTAAGTACGAGGAAGAGTCCGGAATTGGGATCACGAAGGCGGCCGACATGACTGATAGAAGCGATCATTGTTGGCCACGAAATCACCGGCTAAATGGATCCCCGGGACAGATACCGTGCACGCCAACCGAGTATTTCTTCACTCCGTGACCTTCGGCGTATTTCTCATTTTCTAAGCGGAAGAGTTCGCGAACCAGTTAACGAGATCGCAACGATCTGACTTTGGGACTTTCGTCGCACGAGAGCCTGAAAAAGAAAGATGCCGCACACAAGTTTCATTTCGAAGCGACACAAACGAACAAATAAAATAGACATTACAAACTTTCGTATTGCACGAGGACAAGTTTCGCACATAAAAAACTAACATTTAGAAACATCGACGAGCGATCGCAATTAATCATTTGCAGAAGGCGCTAGCCAAAAGTGCAAAGTATCTACGTATAAGCGCAAACAGCACGTATAGTTCCGTGTTACATAACACTACGTCCATCTATTACGTTATCAATTTTCTCAGATACATAAAATTGATAGATCCTAAAATGCAGTCGACACAAAAATATAGTCAATCGTTCGTGCAGGGTGCGCGTGTGTTGCTACGTGTGTGCGATCGTGTGGACGAACGTCAGATCTATTCTTCCCGCCTACGTTCTCATCTTCGACCGGTCATCAAATGAGATAATGG